GGGGGGGGGGGGGCGCAAGGGATTCCCTTGGGATGGAGGCACAAGTGGACAAATCCCAAGGACTAAAGGGAGCAGCTGATGCTGGGGTGCTGGGGTGCAGGGGCAGCAGAATGGGAGAAGCCTGTTCTTTGCAAGCCTCCCAAAGGATCGAACAGTTGGCACTCTTGCCAACGTTAGTGGAGTCCAGACCACTCAACAAGCAGCTTTCCAAACCCCTTTGGCCCTCCTTTTCAACACCACCCCCACCCCCACCCCCGCTCACAACCTGACATAGCCCTAATGGGTGTTGCCCAATTACAGGCATGAATCTGCCTCATACCATCGCCTTCGTCTACTGTGGCTTGGATGACCACTGGAAAAATGCCCCGGTCCAGATCAAAGTTCAGCTGGAAGGAAAGGCCGAGAGATTAGCCCCAGACTGAGTGCACGAGAGAACATTCCTCTGAGAGGCATCCACGTGGCTGCTGGCTCATTCCTCTCCTGCTGAGACGGGGGCCAAAATGGCTCCTTGGACGGAGCAGTGGAACCCTGGCTGACGCAACTGAGGCCAGGCAGATGCTACCTTCCTGCCCTCTCAGATCCCCCTGATGGTTCCCACAGCTGAACTCATTTCCCAGAGGCGGGCAGGTCGGCTCTGGTGCCACATGAACCCAATGGCTTTGCATCCAAAGCCCTGAAGAAAGACCAAGGAAGCCAAACCTCCCCCCGTCGCAAAGTGCCCTGACTCTCCTCTACTTGGGAAGCAGCAAGAAGACAGCAGAGTCACCTCTTCATCCTTCCAGTCGGAGAAGTCGATCTTGAAGGAGGGCAGGGAGAACTGCTGGCTCACCCCTCGCTTGTAGTGCACTGTCTCCGACTGCAGAGAAGGGTTCTTTGTGCTGTAGCTGCAGGTGAGGAACAAGGTCGGAGGTGCATCCCAGGAAGCAGCGCTTGGCTCTACCTGGGCCTACAGACACCAACCCCTCGTAAATTTCACCCCCCCCCCCCCCCCCCCCATCTCTGCAAAGGAGACTTGGAGCTACCGCTTGTCAGCAGCAGCCAACTGAGCAACATTCACATTCCCAGAAGCGCCACCAAAAGAAGCCGGATTCGAGAGGCCCACTGGTTGGCCAACTCCACAGTCCCTGCACTCACACAGCCATGCCACCAATGAGCTCCTCTGCTGCTTGGCAGTAGATGGTGATGGCCACCCGGGCATCTGCGTCAAAGGTGAATTCAAGGCTGTACAAGGCCTTCTGCTTCCCATTCTCCTCTGTGGGGCTGTCAACATCTTCTTTGTACCTGCACCAAGGAAGGCTAAATCAGCAGAGGAACAAAATCCACCCACCGGAAGGGCAAAAGGTCAGTTAGGCAGCTAAAGTCTCTCAATCTCCTTACATTTCCCAGCCTTTTCCAAATACTGTTGCATTAACAGCTCCACAATTACACCGTTGGCAATCTCTGCTAATGTGTTTGTGCCCCCAAAGATTTAATCTTTAATACTTGTTACTTGCTTTTTTAAAAAAGAATTTACAATATAAATAGTAACAAGAATAGACCAAAATTGTTTTTTTGATAGCTAGGGACACCCTTCATCTTCCCTTAATTTCTCTGCCCAGGTTCTACTTGGGTCTCTTGGTCGCTTCCTTCCCAACTAACTGGTGCAACTCCCAGCTGCTGCCTGGCCATTCTACGAGAGGCCTTCAGAGACAGGAAGATCCGCTGAAGGCGGCCTCAAAGGCTGGGCAGCACAAAGAACAAGCGTTTGCAGTGCTGCGGCTCAAACCAAATCGACCCTGCTTGGCCACAAGTGAGAAAGGCCATCTCCCCGTCATTGGCAAAGCATGAAAAACATGGCAAGGGAATTCCTGGACAAAGGGAAAAACAATCCACCAGTAGGCAGCCCTGGCCTTAACCGCAGGGAACAGATCACAGAACCTTCCCAGGAGCGGAAGGACTCCCAGCCGCCAGTTTGGCTTGAAGTACCTGACCAGGCGCAGGGAGTCTTTGCGGATGTTCACCAGGCTCCGAAGGGTCTTCACTGGTTCATGAGGGGCTGGGGTCACGTAAGGAAACTGGAAAGGCAAACCAGAGTCTGTGAGGCAGGGCGAAAGGCAGGCGGGCAGCATGACGTGGTCTAGACAAAGCGGGTGGGAGAATTTCTCTCCTCCCCTGCAAAAGGACAACGGTTGAGGTGGTTTGGCTTCCCTGGGGCGGCATCCATGTTACAGGCATGTCCGTCAGTCCAAGACTTTGAAGCCCAATTAGCATTATAGGCTGGATTCATTCCTGGCTGGACTCTCTAGGCACATGGCGTGAAGCCAACTTATTATGTTTCAGCACACTATGACTTCAGTATATCATTATCTACAAAAGCAGAACTGCATTCAAATTCAGAATTTAGAAAAAGCGTCAATTAAAATTCAGTATTTCCCACATTGTGGTTTTTTTTTTAATGCAGTGCAAATCTTAAACAAGAGCTATTTTTTGAAACACGTACACAAAATATATAAATATTAATTTATCCCCCAGATGTAAACCCCCCCCCCCCCACGTTCATTTGGACCCTGAATAAAAGGCGGGTTCTTAGGGGAAAAGCTCACAGGGCGCCTGCGCTTACCTGGACCGGCCGGTTGCCCAGAAAGTTGAGGTCCATATTCTCCCCGAAGAGGTAGCCCTCGGGGTGCGGCATGTCGAACTTCTCGCCGCCCATGAAAAAGTGGCTGGCAAAGTAGTTCCCTGGCGCCCAGAGAAAGGGGGAGAGAAAGGGGGAGAGAAAGGGAGAGAGGACCTTCCACGGCCGACCTTCCCGCTTCTCCGCGGCCCACGCCCGGCTTCCCGGGCCTTCCGCACCGTCCAGAGGACCCCGACAGCAGCAGCAGCAGCAGGGCAGGGCGGCCTCCAGCGCGACCCCCCGGCCGACCCCGGCTTCCCACCGGCGGGTGGCCCAGGCGGCCTCCGGGGCCCTCCAGCTGGGCTCTGCAAGCAGCCCCGCGCCTCTTTCCCTCCGCGGCCGCAACCCGGTGCTCGGGTAGACTGCCCCGCCCCAGGGAAGCTCTGCCCCTGTGCCCGGGAGGCCACCGGGGCCCGGAGAGCCCCCCCCGAAGCGGGGAAGAGGGCGGGGGGGGGCGGCCGGAGCCAGCGCCGGGCCTCACCGGACTTGGGCGGGTAACGGTAGGCCGAGTTGGCCTGGATGTCGATGTCCTCCACGCCGGCAATGCGGCGGCTGAGCAGGGAGCCCATGGCTGGGCAGGAGCTGGCGGCGCTCGCCCCTCTGTGTCGCCCGTCAGGCAGGCCTGCAGGCCGCTGCCGCGCGGAGCACCACGGGAAAGCGAGTCATCACTCCCCGCCCGCCCGGCAGTCGTCGGCCCGTTCGCCTATCCGCGGACGACGCTTCCCGGCAGGCGCCGCACTCAGCAGGGAAACAACAAGCGCCCGTCAGGGGAAAGGGCGGGAGCTGAGGCCGTCAATCAACCTGAGAGCTAGTCAAAACAGAACCGTGGCAATGGACTCGGGCGGAAGCCGCACTGGCAGAGCATGATGGGAGCTGAAGTCCGCCTTCTGCAAGCAGAGCCGGAGCGGGGCTCAGAAGAGGCTACCGGACTCTATCCAGGGTCCTGAAGATCGTGGGCGCCCGGCTTCCGCGCCTTGCCTCAACTTCGCGACTGCCGGCCCGCGGCCAGAATCCCCGAGCGAGTCGTGCCAGGCCAGAAAGCCGCCGGACTTTCCCGGCCCCAAAGCTGAGGCTTCTCAACGGCCATCTGCGTCAACCTCCGGCCGCAGCACCCCCCCCCCCCGAAAGCCAAGGAGGGCTAGAAATGCGGTGCAGGAGCCGGGGTGGAGCAGCATCCCTGCCCAGCTGCCCTCCCGACCTCCTCTCCCGGGGAAGGCGAGGATGGGGACCCTGTCCTGCCTGTCACACCCTGCCCCCCAGCCAAGGTGCTCCTGGAAAGGGTTGAGTGGCCCCTATAGAGGAAGAGGGTGAGGATCTGCTTCTTTGGATCTGTACCCTTGAGCCCCCAGCCACCCCTCCCCCCCCATGGGAAAGGGAGGAGGGGCAGCTCTCTGCCTCCAAGGGCCTTTGGGTTTAGAGGGTGACAAGACTGTTGCAGAGATACATGCCCACACTTATGGGGAAGGGAATGCAAAATCGCACAAGCCTCCAGCTGCACCTCATGGCAACCTCTAGGTTTTAGGCTGCAATATTTCCTCTTGATTTGTTTCTACCAAGGCATCGGATGACCATTGCCAGTTCCCCCTTCCTGGCCCTGGGCTTGGGGGCACCTTTCCCTCTCTTGCTAATCACCCACCGAAGGAAACTGTTCAAGTTGGAGGAAAAAGAACCAAGCTCCTTGCAGAACAGAGGCAGCAGTTCACAGCATGTAGAAAAAGAATCTTTATAGAATCATTTTCTCACTCGACGAATGCTTTCCTGTGCCATGGCTGAGACAGGGACAGTATCAGGAATATCTCCAGGGTCCCATATGGAAAGGGGAGGAAAGGCTCAGGGTCAGGTTTCTGACGATGCCAAGGCCCAAACGGGAAGATCTTGGCCCCTGGAATTCGTGTGTTCACTGTCATCATAATGAATGTTTTGTTTGGGAATCCTGGTTCACTGGGGAGAGAAGCACCATTTTAGCCCATGATCTGCTGTACATCTGACGTAGGTCGGGCATGATGGTAGTTGTGGACACAGCCGCTCTCCTTTGAAAGCCATGCAAGTCTGTGGCCTCTGTTTCAGGTGGACGAGAAGCAGCTTCTTCCATTACAGTGTCAGAGGTCTGGCAGGGATAACCAAAATCTTCAGGGAAGGAGTCTGCTAAAAGCTATGGGTGCCCCTAGAAAGACACCATAATGGAGGCTGGCTGAAAGGCCTGGCCCTGATCACCCAGCTAAGAGGGAAGGAAGGGAAGACACACCTCCACCGCTACCACCCCCTGTCCCATCTGGGAGGAACCTAGCGAGTATCTAAGAAGAGGCAGGATACGTGGTGGGGCTCTTGAAGCTGAGCTCACAGGCCTGGAACGTCCCTTTCGTTCTGAACGTGGCTTTCTCTGAGGGCGGCACCCATGACTGTTCTGTCCACGGGGTCACAGCTAAGCTGCTGCAGTCGCTGGTTGCTGTTGGCTATTGCAGACCCCACTCGACGGAGGGCGGAGGCTGCAAAAGGGAGACATTAGGCAGGATCAGGACTCTTTCCCGAGCCATTTCCCCCCATGCTACACTTGCCCTGCTCGTGGCAGGAGGATCCCCCAAAGCAGAACCACCTGGGCCCTGGCAGAAAGGAGGCCAACTCACAGGGGTAGGGCACCGTGCTGATGTCTGCAAAGGCAGAGCGGACTCTCTCCATTCGCACCCCCGTCGGAGGCCGGGGAATCTTCAGAGCTGTGTGGGGAAGGGAAGAAGCACAACAGCCGGGCTGTGAGGAGGTTGTCAAGACTCTGCAAGGCATGCAGAACAGGGGGTGGGGGGGTGGGGGGGGGGGAGGAGTCGGCGAATGGGAAAGCAAGCCGGAGAGGCCCACTGGCTCCTCCTGTGGCTGGGGAGGGGATTTCTAGCCACTTGGCTTCCCCCCACCAGGCCCTCTAAAGGATCTGGAGGTGCCAGGCTGGGAAAAAGTGAAGACTCTCCCTGGCACGCAAGGGGGCCAATTCACCCACCTGCAAATTCCTTCTGCAGGGCAAACGTCCGCTCTGCTGCATGTGAGCTCACTCGGCCTTTGTAGAGGACCCCATTCACTCCCAGAATGTCTACCTCAGTCTGAGACAAGACATGCACAGAAAGAAAAGGGGTTCCCCCCCTCCGAGCCACAGAGAGCAATCTCTGCCCCCACCCCAGGCTTGATCAGTCCCTTTTGGACTGCCACCGAGAAGGAACCTCCACCTCCAGAGGCCCAGGAGCACTTCTCCCTCCCTCCCTCCCTCCCTCCCACACCTGCTCACATTGTCGTAGGTGATGGCCGTGGGGTCCCCATAGGGGTAGAGGGTGGCGAAGTCCTGGGCCCGGGACAGGTGCTTGAGGGCGCAGGCTTGCTGGTGGGCTTGGCATTGCCAGCAGGTCTGCAAAGGGGGGTTGCCACTCATCTCACTCGGATCCTGATCCCTGGGAAGGGAGCCAGAGGCCCTGCTCAGCACCAGCAACAAGCAGGCCGGCTACCATCTCGGGTCTCCCGGCCCCAGAGACACAGATACCATGTAGGGGACAAGCAGGAAAGGGAATGCAGGGCTGGGGCTGGGGCGGGGGGGTTGATGGCCGGGAAGGCAAAGCCTCCTATCCAGCAGGGAGGCCCTTCCTCTGGGCTGCTCCCAGAGCTCTCTCCCAGCTGGCCCAGGGAGCACCCCCCCCGCCCCCCCATCCCCCGCCGAGTCGCTGACCTTTTCTGCTGGTGGAAGAGGTATTCGTAGCCACTGGCACTGACTGGACGAGGCTTCAGTGTGGCCTTCCGGACAGTGATCATGTGCCTGTGAAGAAGCAGGGGGCAATGCAGCTCCTCCTCCACCTGCTGCCCAACCCAGAAAGGCACCAGGGATACTTACGGCCCAGTCATCATGGTCACTGGCCGGTCACAGGAGATGCATTTCACTCTCTCAAAGAGCTGCCTGCAAGGCACAAACCGAGGGCTGTTGTGCCAGGGCTGGCTGCACTTCCCGCTCCACCAGCCTCCTTCTATCACAGCCCAAAAGAGGGGGTGCCTCTGGCAGGCTATGCAACGCCCCCCCCCCCCCCCCGCAGCTGGCCTCTGCCGTCCCCTCCTCACTTCTTGAAGCCAGCTGCGCTGTCGGCGTCAAAGCGGGGTCCCTCACTCAGGTACTTCTTGATGAACTTCCACACCTCCTCCAGCTGTCGGCTCACAGGGTCCAGGGCCAAGCGGTCCAGCTGTAGGGCAGCAAGGGTGGCTGAGTGGGCCCTCTTGCTCTGTGGCAGCCATGGTCCCCTGGGGGAGTTCTGGGCAGGGAGGAGTCACCTTGCAGTCCATGTCCACAAAGAGCTTCTCGAGCGCCTTCTGCCAGTCCTTGTCCTGCAGGGACATCTTTTGCAGCAGGTCCTGCATCATCTCGCTGAGTTGGCTGGTGGCCAGCTGCAGCTGCCCATGGTTCACCATGGCCTCCAGCGCGCTCTTGTCAGCTTTCTGGGGGAAGACAAAGCAAGTCCTCCCTGAAGTCCAGGAGATGACAGGGGGCAGTGGCAGGGGAGAACACCAGGCAGAAAGAGAGGAGCCAGATTTCCTGCCAGGCAGGTGAGGAGGGGAGAGAAAGTGCTTCCAGAGGGGCTCCTGTGGCTTTAAGGACTGAAGGCGAGGCAGCGAAACAACTGCCTGAGTTGCTGCTTGGCATATGCAGGCCCCAAAGGAAACTAGACCAGTTGAATGTCCTCCCCTTAAAGGCACAGAAGCGCCGCGACTGCCTCCAACTGGAAAAAGTGGCATCTTTCCTTCCGAAAGGCATTTCCTTTGCACGGATAGTGATGGGGCTTCACTTAATCACTGGTGCTACTGGAGCAGCCATGCCGAAACCCCTGGGATTTCTCTTCTCTCTCAGACCGGGATGACTTCAGGTTGGGAAGAAGCAACCGGAAGCTTCATCTAACCCACTTTCTTTTCCACACCAGAGACTTAGTTGGGGTGTGGGAAAGATGGTCTCCTCCCATTCCCAGGGACTCACCACATTCATCTCCTCTTGGATCGAGTCTTTATCGGCTTTCTTGACATCCAGCTGATGCAACAGGTTGCGTATGATCTGTAGAGGGAGTAAAACTCTGCTGCAGACTCTCCCTTTTTTCCTCCTGCTCAAACTGCCTGGGCTGCTTCTCCGCCAGCCACAAGCTGTGACCGGACCCTCTGGCCGGTCACTGAGTGGCCATACAGCCCCTTACCTGCATCTCTGTGCTGCTCCTGGATAGCTTCTCCACTCCCTGCTGCAGGTTTTCACACTGTTCCCTCAGCTTCTCGATCTGCTCCAGGGTCTCTTGCAGAGATTCCTTTCCCTGAAGAAGAAGAAGAAGCCAGCGACTCCATCTGGGGTGGCCAGCAACTTTGGCCTGAGCTGAGCCACTGCTGTGACCAGCACTGTCACTGAGGAGCCGGAGCAAGCCCAGACCTGTTTTGCAATGGGCTTTTCTTCCATCCCCCCAAAGTCTGCCAAGCCCTTTGCAGGCGGGAGTCTCACCGCCTCCAACGGGCAGGATTCCGAAAGCCCTTGGGGCTCTGTCTGTTGCCCAGGGCAAAGGGGAGCCCCCCCAGAGCCTCTTCCCCACTGGACTGCCATCTCGGATGTCAGCTGTTGAGCATGTCCAGACCACAGGGCGAGATTTGCCCCCTTAGCAATTTGTCCCTAAATTTCTATTGTCCTGCAACTCCTATGACCCTCCCCCCCATGGATGAACACTCTCCCTCCCTCCCTCTCCTTTGCACTTTTGTGGAAAAAAATTCATATGGGGGGGGGGGGCATGTCCATCCCCTGCCCAGGTTCCCAGGGTACCTGTTGGTTTTGAGTTTGCAATGTCTCCATCCGTTCCAGCAGCGACTTCAGCTCAGGGGGCATTTCAAAAGCTAGAAAGGGGGGTGGGGGGAACGATGACAAAGAATTTGTGCCAGATTGCTCAGACTTAACCAGCCTGGGGGGTGGGGTTGAGGCTGGAACCCCCAAGCTATGTTAAGCAGGAGCCAGAGCCCACCTAAACCTTAGCCTGCGGGCCTCAAGGCAGGTAGGGGGCTTCATTTTGAGGGCCAGGAGACAGCGCCCCCAGTGGGACATCATCCCAATTCCCCCCCAGGGAGCAGCAGCTGGGCCCACCATGGGTGCTATCCCCTTCTCAGCCTCACCTGCAGGGCCTGCTGGGTACTTCAACTGGGCCTCCAGCTGAGTGATGTGCTTCAGGAGAGCTTCGTGCTTCTCAGGCAGTTGGCTCAGAACAGCCAGGATCTCCCGAGATGTCTTCTCTCTGCCCCTGTCCTCTTCCTCTCTGCTCCGTCCCTCTTTCTCCCTGCTCCGTTTCTCTTCCTCTCTGCTCCGTTTCTCTTCCTCTCTGCTCCGTCCCTCTTCCTCTCTGCTCCGTTTCTCTT